TCGAAATCCAACTCGAAATCCTAACTCGAAAGTGGATTAAAATAAAATGGAAATGTATGCAGTAGATACTGTGTACATGATGCTTAATGCTGAGGCAAGTGTTCAAAAATAGTTTCTCAAAGTCTCTAATAGCAATATATCGGTTCCTTATTTTTCAACATATTAGCCGTAAATGATGGAATTTTTTCTTGTCCCTTTCTTAGGATGATGGATGGGACACAGAACCTTTTGTGTTGACAGAAATTGGTAGCAAGCTGTTTGGCAGAGGATCAACTGATGATAAGGTAAAAGTCACAGAATTACAAGCTGTTTAACTGCAGCAGAGTATGACTGATTTAGGTAGAGCACTCAGTATATAATGTGACTGTTCTAATCTGGACAGAATACACAGATTTATGACTTCCTTAGCAAGTTTGCTAGAAAGCTCCAACTATTAGTCTTTGTACACTGGGTAGAGTCTCATTTATAGCAAGTCACTACAGCTGTACTGAACTCTGAAGGTTTTGCTTTAGAGGTTGGATTACGGAGCTCAAGGCTTTTCCCTTCTTGAAGTCAGAACAAAAAATGTGAATTCTTCCATCTTCCTTAGAGGCCCATCTAGCTCTCCAGTAGAGCCCTGGATTGGAAGTCTGATTAAGCATTTGGCTATGGTGCTTTCAATGAATCACTTTAAGCATTGTGTCATTCTTTTTTGAACATTGTCTGTAGGGTCCAGTGTTGGCATGGCTGAATGCTATTGAGGCATACAAGGAAACTGGTAATGAGCTGCCAATCAACCTGAGGGTAAGAGCTAACCTTGGTACCAGGCTCATGCTGTTCTGTTGCTTGGCTTGGTTACCCTTCCCATGAGATGCTGACTAGGGATGATGGTCATCAATGATTTCTTTCAATCCTTTCTAAGGATATAACCTAGTTATATTGGTTATATTCTTAGTATTCCAAACTGCACTAAAGATGCAGAATGAACCTTTCTTTTTCAGTCTTCATTTTTTCATTTCACATTACTGGGGCTGATGTTTAAGTTTTCAGGATAAAAGTAGAAGTATCGGTCAGGGGAAGATCCAGGATTTTTCAAGGGGGTTAGGGGGTGGTGGTGGCTCATACTTTGGGGTTGCATAATCAATGGGGCATGCCCACAAAATGTTACACCAGAAACACTAGCAATGTGACAAAGTAGAAATTACAATGTATCTGTCCAGAGAGTTTGCCCCAACATTCACAATCTTTTTCAATTTTTTTTTATGTTTTGCTTCTCCAAAAGGGCTGTCAATGTATATCAACCTGCCAGTTTCCAACAAACAACAACAAGGCCTTCTAACAGGCTCTCAGAATTTCCAGAGTCACTAGTTTTGAGAAGTAAATTTTGCAAGATGTCCATATAAAATAACTTGAAACACTTCTCTATTATAGCATTGTTCATCAGTGACTTCTACATTCAAAAGTTCCTCCACCTCAGGGCATGTTGCAGACCAAACCAATAAGTCAAGTAAGAAATATTAACTGCATGTATTTTGTTTTCCCAGTTTGTGTTTGAAGGGATGGAAGAATCTGGCAGTGAAGGTCTGGACGATCTGATCTTTGAAAGGAANAAACCAACCCCACCCCTATAGGAATTCTTGTTTTGGCTGCGTTAGACTGGAAATCTACGAGATGGTTTATGGACAAACTAACCAATTCATTGCAGCTGGATTACTAGTAACTGTCTCGAAAAGACCGACTCTACATCGTTACTTGAAAATCCAGCTCGAAATCCTAACTCGAAAATCCAACTCGAAATCCAACTCGAAATCCTAACTCGAAAGTGGATTAAAATAAAATGGAAATGTATGCAGTAGATACTGTGTACATGATGCTTAATGCTGAGGCAAGTGTTCAAAAATAGTTTCTCAAAGTCTCTAATAGCAATATATCGGTTCCTTATTTTTCAACATATTAGCCGTAAATGATGGAATTTTTTCTTGTCCCTTTCTTAGGATGATGGATGGGACACAGAACCTTTTGTGTTGACAGAAATTGGTAGCAAGCTGTTTGGCAGAGGATCAACTGATGATAAGGTAAAAGTCACAGAATTACAAGCTGTTTAACTGCAGCAGAGTATGACTGATTTAGGTAGAGCACTCAGTATATAATGTGACTGTTCTAATCTGGACAGAATACACAGATTTATGACTTCCTTAGCAAGTTTGCTAGAAAGCTCCAACTATTAGTCTTTGTACACTGGGTAGAGTCTCATTTATAGCAAGTCACTACAGCTGTACTGAACTCTGAAGGTTTTGCTTTAGAGGTTGGATTACGGAGCTCAAGGCTTTTCCCTTCTTGAAGTCAGAACAAAAAATGTGAATTCTTCCATCTTCCTTAGAGGCCCATCTAGCTCTCCAGTAGAGCCCTGGATTGGAAGTCTGATTAAGCATTTGGCTATGGTGTTTTCAATTAATCACTTTAAGCATTGTGTCATTCTTTTTTGAACATTGTCTGCAGGGTCCAGTGTTGGCATGGCTGAATGCTATTGAGGCATACAAGGACACTGGTAATGAGCTGCCCATCAACCTGAGGGTAAGAGCTAACTTTGGTACCAGGCTCATGCTGTTCTGTTGCTTGGCTTGGTTACCCTTCCCATGACATGCTGACTGGGGATGGTCATCAATGATTTCTTTCAATCCTTTCTAAGGATATAACCTAGTTATATTGGTTATATCCTTAGTATTCTAAATCTGTAGAAAAGATGCAGAATGAACCTCTTTTTTTCAGTCTTCATTTTTTCATGTCACATTACTGGGACTGATCTTTCAGTTTTCAGGATAAAATTGGAGGTATTGATCAGGGGCGGATCCAGGATTTTTGGGGGGAGGGGGAGGGGGGCTGGCTGATACCTTGGGGTTGTAGAATCAATGGGGCATGCCCTCAAACTGTTACATGTACGCCTGGTCCAGAAATACTTGCAATGCCACAAAGTAGAAATTACAATGAGGTACCCATCCAGAGAGTTTGCCACGACATTCACAATCTTTTCCAGTTTTTTTTTTTTATGTTTTGCTTCTCCAAAATGGGGGTGACCAGCCACCTAATCCATCCCTCTCCAAATCCACCCCTGCCATTGCATATCAACCTGCCAGTTTGCAACAAACAACAACAAGGCCTTCTTGCAGGCTCTCAGAAAAGACATTGCTCAGAATTTCCAGAGTCACTAGTTTTGAGAAGTAAATTTTGCAAGATGCTCTCATAAAATAACTTGAAACACTTCTCTATTGTAGCATTGTTCATCAGTAACTTCTGCATTCAAAAGTTCCTCCACCCCAGGGCATGTTGCAGACCAAAGCAATAAGTTAAGTAGCAAATATTGACTGCATGTATTTTGTTTTCCCAGTTTGTGTTTGAAGGGATGGAAGAATCTGGCAGTGAAGGTCTGGACGATCTGATCTTTGAAAGGAAGGATACTTTCTTCAAGGTTTTGTTGAAATATTTTTCTTGCTAATGTCATTATTAATATTTATTTATTAGCCAGGAATTAAGGTGTAGAAACTTCCAAATTTGTAATAGTAAAGCTATCCTTATGGAACCTTATTTGCATTTTGGTTTTCAGATACATTATAATTTGTTTGCTCATTCATTGAAATCAATTTATCTGTCAATTTGTCTGTCTGTCAGATCTCACTGTATGTCTGTCTACAGGTCTATCAGATGAGGCTCTGTCTGTCTGTTGTTATTTCTGAGTGTCCACTCTTTCATCTTTCTCTTTGTTCCTCTATCCATCCTTCCATCCATTGGTTCTTCTGTTCAGGGATATGAGGAGCATTTTTATACCAAATTTCAGTAGATTTTAGTTAAACATCTGTATTTTCATTCTGTCATATTTTTGCTAGACTGTAGATTATGTGTGTATATCTGACAACTACTGGTTGGGAAAAAAGAAGCCCTGCATTACCTATGGCTTGAGGTGAGGGTCTCAACCATTTTTTTAAAGAAATATTTGAATCCCTGAGAAGAATTTTAAGACATGTTTGAACTGATGCCAGCCATTTTCCTTCTCAGCAACCCCATTGTTCAGCTAATCTGGGAATCTGAGAGTCCTGGAAACTCATCACTATACATGCTAAGTGATAAGGGGTCACAAATACCATATTTGTGTCCCTCTCCCACTTCCAATTTGCCTGCGACCCCAGATGGATTTCTGACCAATTTTTTCACATTGCAGTTAACACAGAACTACCTGTCACCAAAACACTTTTTTAAGATCCCCAAAACAATATTATTCTCTAATTCCCATGTACAGACTTGGTGGGGAGAGGCACTGTGAGAGTAAAGTGTCTTGCCCAAGAATGCAACATAAGTACTTTCAATTGGTGAAACATTAACCTCTTGTTTCATGGTGTAAGACACTTAAAATAACCAATAGGCTGCCACCATGACCTACAATGTATGTGTCTCAGAATAGTGTCTGCACTGCTCATAGCCTGCGTAGCAAACGTTACTGTGGGGTTTGGCAGCAAAGAAAGACCGAGGAACAGGATTTTCAGTGTTTTTCCTGCGCATAAAAATGGGGCGAGAGCCAAAAAAAGAAAGATGGGGGTGGGGGAGGGGAAGGAAGGAAACGTTTCCTTCCTTCCTTCCCCTCCCCCTCCTCCTTCATTTACTCATTCCATTTTTCACGCTGTAATTCTTTGCTCCCGAACTCCACAGAAACGGTTGCTACGTAGGCTACTCTGCTCACTATATCACTGCTTACTGCTAAACATCCCAGGATTCCAATCAAATCTCTCAACAAATGACCAGGGCCAATGTATGCATATGGGTTAAAGACCAAGCATGAGGAATGAAATGCAGCAGGTAATCCCAAAGGGGCAAGATAATCCCATCTTGGGCACTCGGGTAGCCAATCACAGTGTACAGTTTTAGAATATGGTTTGTCTTGCCCTCTGGCATATAATAATAGAGAAATGTAATAGAGAAATGTAATAGAGAAATGGGTACCATGTTTAATCTTAGATGTTTGTTGTTTTTTCCGAGTCCTGTATACACCAGAAATTTCTCACATCGGCAATGTTGTTAATTTTTATTTTTAACTGTTTAGTATAACTTCACCACAATATACGTTGTCAAAATTGATCTTACTTTTTAGTTTAATTTTCTTCATCTTTGTCCTCCCTCAGAGGAATCTGCTATTTCAATGTGGAGGTTGCTTGTGCGTCAAAGGATCTTCACTCAGGTGTCTTTGGTGGTACCATGTGAGTACACCATTTTTGGTCTTGGTATTGTTAGAAGTTTGACTGCTGTAATGTTCTCCAAAAACTTTTAGTGAGATATCATCATGGTTATTGTAATATAATTTAGGTATTTTCTGGTACTGAAGATCCACTATTTTGTTATTTACCTCTCCAAAATAGACATGAGGCAATGTCAGACCTTATTTACCTTCTGGACCAGCTTGTTGACCTGAAGGGCAATATTATCATCAACGGGATCAACGATGATGTTCTTCCTTTAACGGATGACGAAAGAGCAACTTACACTGATATTGACTTTGACAAGGTCAGTAGAGAATATTGAAAAGACCAAATGAATCTTACTTGATGAATAGTGACAAAGTGTAAGAAACTCTACTGGCCAGTAGCACAATGATGATGATGATGTCTCAGATTTCAGGATTTTTCAGATTTCTATTATTTTGCAGTATTTAGATATTTTTGAACTGTCAAACTTGCAAATATATGGAAAAATGTGGAAATGAAAAAAAAAAATTACTGCAAATAACACCAAATGGACCAAAGCAGCTCAGGCTACTTTGGCGTATTACTGAAACCTAGAATTTACTGAAAGCTGCTGATTAGGACGTGATCAAACGAAGAAAAAAGAGTTGAAATTTCTGCTCAACCTCGTTTCCAGGTTCTCTCATTTTCCCACTCTACCAGACGAAGATGAGGGACCCTGGGAACAAGGTTGATTTCTGCTCTCTTTTGCCTGCCAAAAATCGGATCATTCTTATAGATATGGTTCTTATAGTTCTTATAGATATAACCCAGACTTTTTGCTCAAATTTTGNTTTTTAACGAACAAAAACCTTTTACCGAAATAACTTTAAGTATATCACAGTCCTTTTTGCATTTTCTAAAAGCTAAAAGTATAGATAACACCAAAAATAATTTCTCATGGGAACTCGAGAAAATAAATTTCAAAGTAAAGAGAAATTGTGCGAACACAGGTAAAATTTCATCATTAGTTTCATTTCACGAGTACTAGGTATTACTTTCAAGTGTGTCATATGAACTTCAAAATTCCTTCCTTCTTAACTTTTGTTCTCTTTGTTTTCTCCTTTGTTTTATAGACTAAAGCTCTGGTTGCTTACCTGGAAGAACTGGGTCAACTTAGAGACTAGTTTAAGAACCTGGCTTGCTCGACTTTTTCAGAATATAATGTGATTTGAAACAATCCATAGGTAAAAAGAAAAAAATGTTTTTAATTACCAAACCGAGACCAGCTTGATATAACGAACACCCTTTAAATCTTGCCGCTCTTTGTAAATGAAATATGTTTTGGAACCAGTTATATCCTGAAGTATTGACTAAACTTTAACACGTACTACTGGTGCCACGTAAAATGCCGGTTTTAAGCAGTCCCGCTTATCAGACTCCCCTCTAGCTGTAGGCTCTTACCTCTCACATTCCCCNCCCCCACCCCTTTCATCTAACTTTTTTACACGTCAACCTATTACAGGAGCTACGTCAGAGTTTGCGCGTCTTGAAAAGTTCAGCCGAAATTTGTCGAGTTCGTTGTTTGTAATCCGTGTCAATCTTCTCCTTTATGGTTTACTGTTATCTCTTTGATGTTTTTTTTTAAATCGAAGTAAATAACCATTTCCAGGTAATTTTGTACGTGGCCAAATAACTCAAAATACCGTGATTGAGCTCCTTTAAATGTCTTCGAACTTTTTGAACTTTTGGTAAAAGATATGTAGCAATGGATGAGTTTGCAAGTAAATTACCGATGAAAACGTCAGTTTTAATCGAAGTGGCTTACTGTCGTTTCTTCGCAGTTCATTTAAGCCGTTTATAAGCTTGGCTTCCCTAGTTATAAACCCAACCAAAACCCCTTACTGGAGAAGTGGGATAATCCCAAAGCTCGAACCGGCAATAGGCCATTTTCGAGTTACCTTGTGCAATAAGTTTGATTTGCATGAAACTGAGTTCACCTGTAGTAGAAACGCATTTGCATATGAATGGTTTGGCACCAAGACTCGTTTTGACACAGGCAGAAGGCAACTAGGAAATGGCCTATTCAAGTTATCTGAACAAACCATTCACATCTGTTGGTTATGTCGGGTTGCACTTTAAATTGTATTGTGATCAACTTGAATGTTCTCTTCAAAATGTTGATAAAACAACAGTCATGCAGGTCATGAGAATAAAGAGAGTAATCAGCATCTGATGTAGAATGCAGTTCTCCCAAATCAGCAACTTATTAAAGAATTTATAATTGAGATAAGTAAGGAGAATACGTGTCTTGATCTGGCCTTAAAAAGTCTGGATGTACCAGGAAATATATCAGAATCTGTAATAAGTATAGTTTTTAATTAAAATAAAATGACATGATAAACGAAAGTTGTAGTCTCTCGTAACTGATATGTTTTTCCTTATTTGACATGCGCTCCTTTGCTTTGGTATCATTTTAAAATTGAGAAATGTACTCTAGAAATGTTCTCTCTTGGGTAAAGTGGTAAGCGCGTTCGATACCATCAGTCTGGTAAATCTTCGTTGAAGCGCCCGAAGAGATTCTGAAAGCTATTATCCAATTAGAAAGCAAGCTAACGCGTTGGTCTATTTCCATGTCAATAGCCCATTGCAAAAACGTGAGAGGACTGGGACGAGTTTCTTATATTGATTAGATTGAAAATCTAAACATTTCAACTGAAATGTTACTGAATGAAAAGCTACCCTGTCAAGTTTGAGAGTTTTCGGCGGAAAATTGTCCAAATGGGAGCCTTGCAAAAGTTGCAAAATTCCATACAAACCCTTACAATTTTGTGGCATGTCTACCCAATCCATAAAAACTCTCTATTTTAGGTGATATTTGAAGAGCTATCATTTTGCCATTTTCCTCCTCCAAATACTTCTATTCTTGCTTAAGACTCTCAAATTTAGCTGATCTTTCATTTGAATATCTTAGTTTTTCAAACAAACGGAAAAAACCATACTTTTTCCCAGTCCTCTCACGTTTTTGCAATGGGCTATACGTCATGTAACTTAGCAACACTCCGCTTGATGCATGCAAATGTGGCTCAGACCGTTCTCGCCGACAGGATTCCTGGTTCATTTTGCATATAAGCCGGGAAAGTTGGGTGGAAGCGTCAGGGAATGCCTTAACTTCTCCATACGTACAATTCACTCTCGCACCTACCGAAGTGACGCTCGCCTATTTGCCCTTCGTAATCTTCCCACTCTGCGAGACACAGATAACGTAAAAAAAAGGAAAATCAAAGACAATGATACTACACAATTACAATGACTGAAGTGCAATCATTCCTGAAAAGCACATTATATTCCTTAATCTTGACCTTTCATTTCTTTCAGAGTGACAATGGGTCATGGAGGTCGACCATGGGTGAGTGACTACAACCACGGTAACTACCAAGCAGCGAGGAATGCTCTGAAAACAGGTATGTACGTGACGGAGTCATGCAATCCTAGGTAACAAATGTAACGCAATACCTTGGTTGCTTCTCCCCATTGTAGTGTTTGAAATTGATCCCGACATGACCCGTGAAGGCGGAAGTATTCCCGTGACCTTGACCTTACAGGAAGCTACTGGAAAGAATGTCATGTTGCTGCCACTGGGAGCGTGTGATGACGGCGCGCACTCACAGAACGAGAAAATGGATCGAAAGAATTACATCGAGGGAGTGAGTATCGTTGCTTATAAGCGGATGTCTGCTATTGCTTTCTAGACCATTCTCTGAACTCTTCCTTCTTCGCTCTATATGAGGGTTGAACCCTGCCAGAGAAAAGAAAAGAGAGTCTAGGATAACTTGCATGCGCATACTCAGGACGCCGCCATTCGCCTTCCCGGCCCCCCACCAACCCCTTAAACTAGAAAAACCATATATGATAGAACTTTTGGAAACGCGCGCAGCTGGACTGGACAATGAACTAATTGCTTTCTGGCGCGTAGATTCTGAGTCTCTTTATTTGTTCGAACATGCACCGAAAATAGCTGACGATGTAACTAAACAAATAAGCCATTTCTGAGTTTGCCTTTTGCCTCTGTGTTAAAACGAGTCTTCGTGCGAAAACAATCATATGAAAATGAGTTCCGCCTACAGCTTCATTTTCATGTAAATCAAACTCGTTTTCATATGAAAGGTTTTACACCAGGACTCGTTTTGAAACAGAGGCATCAGGTCACTCGGAAATCGCCTATTAAAATCTGTGTTTGAGCACTGTAACCATTAGGTTGGTTCCCGAAACATGAAGGGACTAAATTTGTGTCAGCTCTCTCTATGGAAGTGCTAACATCCTTTTTTAACTTGGAAAATAGTATTTTCCAAGCTGTCTTTATGGGGGTGAATTTCACTCGATTCTTCGCTTCTTCCTTCGCTTCCTGTGAGACCTTTTTTGTGAATCCACTGATTAATGAATAAGAGTGATTGGTTTTAACGTAGTTAATAGAAGGGATTGGTTATATAGGCCAGGGACACATGAGAGGGGCCAATAAAGCTACCAAAATTTATGCTGGAAGGGTCCACGACCGTACACAAACTTTTGTTTTTCGCTCATACACTATGCATGGACTACGTAACCAAAATGTTCCTATTGGTTAGTTCTTCAGTCAGTAGGAAACAACAGTTGTGTTTTGTGCGTGGTCAAGGCCAAAAAGGGAACAAAAACATAAAGCAAAGAAATTTGTCAGGTGTCAAGGCAATTCTCTATGAACTATGATTTTAATTTTTATTTACTTTGCTTTCATCAACAGACCAAAGTTTTGGCCGCCTACATGGAGGAAGTGGCTAAAATAGAGTAAAAGGCGATTGAAGCAGTAAAGATTTCGTGCGAAGATAATTGGAATACAGGAAAATACCAGAAACGCATGCGCAATCTTATCGGACATATATAGAAACGTTGCTTGGACACGAGTGCCCGTAGAAGGAGCTCAGCTTGAAACATCATCTCTAAGGCATAATATATAATGAAAATGAAAATAAAGCTTTTTGATAAATTGCATTTTTGATGAAGTCCTCTTTGCTTTATTTTAGATGCATAACCCCTAGTACGTTTTAGTGCCAAATGTGTTCGAAAAACGAAATGAAACTGAATATGTGCTCCGTCCACACTACGCCGGGGGAATTTAAAAACGCAACAATCACCGGTCATTTTGGATTTGTGTTTGAGGACAACTCGGTCAGGGAAATCACGTGATTATCGTGACGCCATCGTTTTCGAAAAGCTCCGTTTTCAAAACGTTCTCTGTCCACACGAAAACAAAAAGCCGGTGTTCTCAAATTCCTCCGGTTTCAAGAGCGTTTTTGAAAAGCTCCGTTTTCGTGGCGGATTAGTGTGGACGGTAGGACTAACTGTAAAAATAAAGCTGCGTTTTCAAATTCGTCCGGCGCCTCAGACGTTTTCCCTGCGAAATTTATCATAGTGCTGTGGAATGTTGTCCCTACCCATGGCTGTAATGAAATCAACAGTTCTTTCCACACACACCATAAGTTGAAACTTGAAGACGGGGAATTACTGGTAAGAGCTCATTATCTTTTATAATCCCAACGGAAGACAAAACCGATTATAATTTATAGAGTGAAGGCGGATTAGCATCTTTTGAATTGAGATTCAGTAAGAGCCCAACACTGTGGGCAGGAAACCGAACAAAACTCGTATTTATATATACATTCAATCCAAACAGGGAGCTTCTCATCTATATTATCGGGTTATTTTGTGTTCAGAGAGTTTGAAAGAGCCTTTTATTAGTTTCCCATATGTACAAGCTGCTTACCTAGTACACAACAAATACAAAGTCCGGATTTTCGATACAATTGAGCTGAATCTTAAGCGAACTGTATGATAGAACAAGCAAGCAGGCACTGTTATTAAAGGATTTTGAATTACACTATGATTGAGGAGTGAAAACAAAAATTATCCAATTTTCTGACGACGCGACCTCTGTTGGTAACTCACTTGATTTCTTAGCTTGTCTTAATTCCATTATGTTTCTGCTCAACTGGAACCATCTGACCTAAAATCGAATAGCAGAACTGAGACTCGTTCCCAATCTCTGCCTTTTTTAACTAAAAGGTGACAAAAGACTAGGGGAAAATGATGAAATGGTTAAGGCTGTGAGGAATGCTGACAAGGAACCATTCGCGTAAAATCCTGTATGCTTAGGAGAGACTGGCCACGAGTCTGATCTAACACAGTAGTAAAGTCTGCATACGAGCTAAGTGGCCCATCAGACCGGCGCTCATCTACGGCTTCTGTAGCATGATGCGAATAGGAGAATTTCTACTCTCCCCTGAATGGGATGATAATCCATCATAGGGATTACCTCCAGCATTAACTTCGCCGATACCCATTTATACACCTGGGTGGAGAGAGGCACTGTGAGAGTAAAGTGTCTTGCCCAAGGACACAACACAATGTCCCTGGCCAGGGTTTGAACCCAGACCGCTCGATCCGGAGACGAGCGCACTAACCATGAGGCTACAGCGCCTCCCACAGGTGTAAAACAGTATCTTCGACAAGACTGAAACAAGCCTTTGAAAATTCAACTTGATATCATCGCGACTATAGGAATTAAGCTTTTTTTCGTGGGCTTGGGATAATCTGTTTGGTCGAAAAAAATGCAAGACAATCTGCAATTTGATTTGATGGAAACGAATCCGAGAAAAATTACTGATATTGACGCGGAAATGAAAATGATCAGGAACATAAGAAAGAATCGCCTTCAAAACGAAAAAAGCTTGTAATCTAGCGTTAAAAAAAAAAATTCAGGACATCTTACAAAATTGATAAAAAACAGAGTTGGGTCGAATCATTGCGTGGGTTAATCTCATATTTGGATGAAGTCCAATCAGTTTAATTTCTATATCCATGATACTGATTTCAATTTATTGATTTACATGGTCTTAAACTCTTAAACCCTGAATCTGTGGAGAGGAAGGTAGATTTTTTGAATAAAGAATTATAGGATGGCCTACCAATATTATTCAGCTTCAATAGGTTTTTGTTGTCTCTTGCATTGTAGGCAGCTCTTTAGAATCGCTAAATCTAACGTGGGACATACGCTTAGCTATATGCCTTGGTTTAAAACATAAAACTGCACTTGGAATTTTAAAGATATGCCACGCCGGAAAAAAATAAAAAAAAGAAATAAAAGAAAAAGATGTAGTAAAAAGATATAAAACCTATTTACGGTTAAAAATAAATCTATCACAGAATAAGAGCTATTTATACTGGATAAGAAAGTAATTATTCATGGGTACTACGTTGTCTAAAGTATTGACTCGTCTGCTAAAAGTCCTCTAATTATAACAGCTTTAAAATCCGATGACACTCTAATGAAATCGATGTAGCTATTCCAATGCTTGGGCGCCTGATAACGCCAAGATAACGCCAAGACGCATTTTACGATTGTAAAAGGTCCGAACTTTACCACGTGTGTAGAAACTAGTCCACTTGCCTCCACTTGATCGAGAAGGAGCTGGGCGCAATGTTGGCTATGTTAAAATTTTGGCGCCACTTGATCTATGTAAAAAATATTATAATGGGAATTTAGGGAATTTAACGAGAAAATCAGTCACGTGATTAGTTTTCAGCGGGAAAGCATGACCTAGATCAGAAAAAACATTATTTTTCTTTCTTTTCACCTTCGATTTAACACGAGTTTGTGATTTTTGTCCTGATTGAGTGCATTGAAAAATAATGTTTCGACTCGACTCTAGCCTTTTAAGGAATTGACATGTCAACAGACCTGCCCTTTCCCCCTCAGTTCTAAATCAGTCTCCAATCGCCAATTAAGAGTTGAAACAGGGTTTCTAGATTTTGCAAAGATTAATGAAGCTTTCAATATCGAAAGCATCGCCCTCCTTGAGGAATTTTTCCACATTATATTCTCAGGTTCGCCGTAAACTACATTAGCTAACATTCCAGCGGTGTTAAGCGGGGCCACGAAAGAGATTACAAGGCGTCAGATAGACCCGGACTTGTTTTTTTAATTCGGCAAATTTTCAAACGACTGGCAATCGTCGCAGTCGATCGAAGTGGAGTCCAAATAAGGCCTGTTGGACATGAAAAGCACCGCCTAATCATTTGGAATCCGGATTAATAACAAATTTAGCCCCATCGGCACGACAGAGGGAGGCTAGCCGAGGGAAGTCCCATTCCACCTTTTTTTATGTCGCAAGACTAGAGACTAACGCAGAAATCTTGCTGTGATATTAAACTTGAAGTGATGATATTAGCTCGAAACCACGTTGACGGAAATTGCGATTTTTTCTAGATCATTCTAACATGATATCTGAATTAGAGCCGGATCTTTCTTCAATTTCGACAGTTATCATCTCGTGTCCAGTTTACGCATTTTTGTGTGTTAACTTTAATGGGCGTATAAATCTCTTGTTCTCGTTGTACCAATTACAAACTACAAAGGAATATAATGAGCCTAGTCTTGCACCGTGTGGAATTTGTAACCCTGGCCTCGTGAGCGTTGTTGGCTCCGCCTTTATCTAATCATAAGGAGCTTACAAATACTTCTGCAATCAAAAAATAACTAAATATAGCTAAGCACGAAAAATTAGTCACTGACAGTTGAAAAGCTATCCGAAACCCCAATATATATCTCTCAGCTCGATTTCGCAATTTAACCGGAGGTTAGCAATGACTGGATGATAAAATATGGAACCACGATTTTCGTTGAACAATATTAACGATAGATGGGGAAAACTGATAATTAAGGCAAAGATCACACATTGAAATAACTTTTTCATAAAACAGTCAACACGACGTTAAACTGATTTGTCATATATAAGGTGTTTTATGTGCACTCTTTGCAATTGAAGTCCAACGTATCCACGAATTTAAACTACACACTGTATGAAGTTGCTAGAGTTAGCGCCGAATGCAGAGTTACATAACAAAGTGATATTGCCCTTTCAACAACTTGTGGAAGATAAATTTTGACGCCTTTCGTTTTCCGTGTATATTGCCGTCCTTTATACAAAATCAATTAATTGATGTATGTTTTTTCTGGTAGTGTCAAAGTTTGTCTAACAAATTTCAATGCATAGTTTTATTGTTTCAGTATATTGTCTCATCGCTTCAAATTAATGTACTTTACGGTAGCTTTGAGCTTTCAAATCAAATAAGCTATTTTTAAAGGCTAACAGATAGTGACATTCTACGTATATAACTCATGTAAAATTCATGAATGTTGCCGTCATTATCTTGCCCTTAAGCTTTGTTTTAAAATATACAACAAATACACTAATGCTTTAAAAGAACTGCCTTACTTTAAAATAACTCGGCGGCCGTTCACATTTCGTTGAATTCCACCTTGACAGATAAACGATATAAAAGCAAATCGATGTTTCTTTTTTTCCACCAAGGTAGTGTTTTGGTGCCACAAATGTAATATTGTTGGACGTTTATAATCCCCGCAAGGCGTAAAATATTACTTTTATCTCCTTTTCAATAACGTATATTCTTAGCTTTTAAAGGCAGCTGACGGTTGCCTACTCAGGCGATTAAAGCGCTAAGCATGTTGATGCGTCATGTTGGCGATGATATTCTAAATTACTGCCATAGGCAGTAAGTTACAAAAAAATCTATCAGAAAAAGCCGCTTATTTGTTAGCTGTATGTAACTGACTTTCTCTAAACAGAGTTGACTGTGATCATTTAAGCCTGCATCGCTAATTGCTACCTCTATTCAAATCATCAAACTTATTAGCCAACAATTGGGAGGGCGGTAAGGCAACTCTTGTGTAAACACTTGCTTTTCCCCGCCCCTTCTACTTGTGAACTAAGCAGGCGTACATGGCAATGTTAAACACGAACTTTCTCGCTATTCCAAACACGATAAGCCCAGAGGTTCTCAAAGAGCATTTTAAACAAGATACCTGACATCGCCAAAGAATCAGTGCCGTTCACCGCTGGTTGAAGCACATAATAACTATTTTAATTGACCGCACTACTCATATTTTGACAGATTTCGCTCGTCCCTCACTGGCCCGGTTTTTGGCGGGCAATTACATAATCAGAACTTTTGAAAGTTTATTTTATACTGCTGTGTAGCAATATATTCCACTAATGGAGAGTACTGAAAAAAATTGTGGCTTGTGTTAACAAGCTATTGTATGCGGTTAATCGCGAGTTCCTAAACTAAGTTATTTCTGTTATTAGTTTTGAAGGAGTTTCAGTCACTGGTTGAAATTTGAAAGCCATATTGATGTCTTACAAATGGTAATTTTGGAATTTTAGAAAGAAAGCATTTTTCTTTTGTTTTAATGTTCCCGAGAGAATGCTAGAGAACATAATAGCGTTAGGCTTCTGTCGGCTTCTGAGAGTTTATTGGCCGGTTTGTAGAGCTTAGTATTCACAAACGTGACTTCGGAACTTCTGCACTCAAAAGCGCCATTAGCACATCAAAAGGTTTTTGCTTTGCTTGTCGCTCAGGTATCTTAAAACTCCTTATAAAAAAAAGGCCTCTTTGCTCAAACTTCCAAACACTGAGTTAGAAATGTTGCTTTATTTAATAGCAAAGCCCTTGTTGTTGTTTCGCTATTTTGTCTGGCAGTTTGCCTATAACCAGTGGGATACGACTGTTGTGACACCCCCCGTTTCGGGTCCGAATGTCAAGTTACGGGCCAATAGCGCATGATCGGCTCATGTGACCTTAAGTCGAGAGGAGCGTCGTTATTGGTCGGAAGCGTTCGTCATCCTACAATGGCTCTTGAACCACCCGAGTAGATAGCTATTTGTGTCTGATTTGCGTTCGTTCTTGAGAGTTGATTCATATTTGTATGTGGTTTAATTCGCCTCTTGGAGCATTCAACCGCTGTTTCTAATGGTGAAGCTACCGAACCGATAGCGTAGGATGAAATTCAAAGCATTAATTTGCTTGGTTTGCCTACTCCACAGAATATGTTTAGGTAAGTGCATTCGAAAGGGTATCTATGCGAGCTTGTTCTTTACTGTTGAGCGATATTGGTGCGCTTTTAGTACTGGATTTCTCTCCCCGTAATGAATACTTGAGTTTTATGTGAGGCCAAATGTTCCTTTGAACAAAGAAGGACACTTGCATTTACAGCTGATAGAATTGGGTTCTTTTTGAGAGATCTTTAGTGCTTAAAAACTTGTAATTTACACCGTAGTTGTCGTCCATTTTGTTCCATTATTGATCCGTCATTGAACGGCGTGTGGAGATTGTAAATGGCGAACGTACAGCTGTTTCAAGATGGTGATCTCTAGCCTTGTTCGTACCAAAACGGAGCTTGAATGTCTAAAAACTCAGTCGACTGCATTGATGATCTCTACAGCCTTAACGCAGCGAACGGGAGCATACCGAATAAGTAATAACAACAACAACATTTGCTCTCATAAATTCATTTGCACGTGGTGTGTTAAGACATTTTCGGTTCTTGTACACTTCGGATACTTGCTCAGGAATGCAGAATTCTGTTAAACGACAGCCAAAGGGTTCTTTGAGGGTAACTTGAGTATAATTTCTCATTGCGTGATGGCATTAAACTTGTAGATTTATGTAACAAGAATACCGTTTCGTTCGCCACGCGAAGTGCCATCCAGTTTGGTATGCAGCAGTTTACATTCGCCTAGTATCTTATTCACGGCCAAACTCGAACTGAGTAAATAGAATTTTCGTTCATAGCTTTATGGAAGGAGTCAGATTTAGTAGTTTAGCAAGTTAAAGTACGTGATCGTTCAATAGAAGGTTGCTTCTTTCCTACGTGCGTCTTGCAAGAGAACTTGTAGGCTTAAATTATCATGTTTATTTACAGAACATTTAGCAAATCCTCGGAGAACATTGGAGATGAATTAGTAGAAAGCAACGACGCCCGTTTCTAGAAACATATTTGGCCACTATTTATCCAGATTTTACTTGCTAGATCTTTTTCAGCTGCGAGGTTAGGCAAAAAAATCCGTCACCCACGTTTCCCTTCCGTAAACGCAGTGAATAACTCAATTATCTTCGATTCATCTGTATGAAGTCAGTTGTAATGCATTTGGTATTCTTGATTCTATTCTTCTTTTATCCCAGCGTCGTTGCTAATTCAGTGTGTTTTTTGTTCACAGGTAATTCTTTGAGACTTTTATACGCAAACCGTAAGGATATTAGAATTGTTCGGACGAGCTCCAAGAATCCGAACGAAACTATAGTCGTCGATGGACTCGAAGATGCCATCGCTGTGGATTTTTGCTTTGCTGAAGGATTTGTGTTTTGGACGGATGTTAGCTTGGAGAAAATCAAGCGAATTCGTGTCACAGGAGACACAAGGAAAGTCGAGGATGTGATCTCGGTGGGTTTGAAGAAACCCGAGGGTTTGGCTGTAGATTGGATAGCGAAAAAGTTATATTGGACTGACTGTAGAGATTCTGACTGGGAAAGGAATAGAATCGAAGTTGCAAATTTAGATGGAACTAATCGCAAAGTTCTTTTCTGGAAAAACTTGGGTCTTCCAAGGGCTATTGCTGTGGACCCACTCAAAGGGTAAGTTTGAAATCTTATTTTTTTGTTGGCCTACACAAATCGAGTTTGGTGGATGCTACTTGTGCACTGCTTTGACTAAAAATATTCAACAATTTCCGGTACAGAAATGCCCTTGCTTGGCTTTGGCAAAGCTTATCATTTGGGGAGCATTTAAATAGCTTTGTGCTTTTAAGAGATTTCCACTAGGAAAGACTAATGAACTATACTCAATTAAAAATACATTATAATCTTTGAGCTGCAGTGAGCCAACAGCAATCTATCAGCATATTTCTGCAAGCCTGCTTTGGGATTTCTCTTCGTCAACGTGTGTTTTGTACTGAAAATCTGTTAAGCCATGAATAAGCAACAAGGAATTTGTTGCAGGCATCCAGTATTAGAATTCAATACTATTTTCTGAAGGCAGCTTACAGATCTTTACTGGAATTTAAGCTTGCTTTGTTTTAATAACCCCCTGTTGTTTTCTTCTGACTGGGCCAAGTGTGTCATTTTGTGACCAAGGACTTGAAGTTAAGTGTCTAAAAGAAAAAAATAATTTATTGGTGGTTTTCTTTTGGAACCAAAAAAATCTCAGTTATTTGTTTTTAGAAGTAACAGTTCAGGGGGAGCTAAAATTCTGTCTCTCTCTGTTGGCTAATTAGGAATTCAGTGTTGATTGTGCTGCAAAGCAAGCCTTTTCCCTCTCTGTCTTGCTAATGAGTGGCTGTTTTGCTGTGAAAATCCTTAGCACAAGTAAATGGCTTGGGTTTTTGTTAACCACCTCTTTACGTGCAATATCTATTCTTGAGTAATCTATGGTCCCATATAAAAAGAGCTTTGAAGAAGGCTTTGTTAATGGCCAAAGACAATGGGTCAGCAGAACATTTCATTTGACCTTTTCTAAAATTGAGGCCCAGTGAATGTTTTACTAATTATCCATTGTTTCAGAGGATTTATTTACACTGTGTAATAACAGAGTGCAAATTTGCTCGTGTAAATTAGTAGCAAGGAGAGAAAATGTATAATGTTATGCTTTGATGATGAACAACAATTACTCCACTTGCTTTTGGTTTCATTTCCAATGTCTGTAACCCCCAAATTTTGAGATAATATTTCTGTTTCTTTTTTTTGAGAGTCTTAAGGATAAAAATCTTAAGTTGCTGATTTATCTACCATGTGAAATATTAGCCTTTCTGTACCATAATTTTTGTCATTTTTATTGAGATAACAGTAAGTCATATATTGGTGTTTTCTCTACAAATTGTTTGGCACTGGTGAAGATAGGTCGTTGTATATTTTTCACTTAACACAGTTTTTGCTGTGTTTATGCACTTTGTAGTTCCTGTTATTCTTTTGCCTGAGCATTGGCTGTGGTTGGCATTCTGCAAGAATCAAATACCTGTTTGAGTATAGTATTTAAATGCTTAATCAATTGAATTTGACCGGGCATACCTTTCCTAAAAGGTCTGTCAAGTTTTGACAGCTAGTAAATGGGAGAATTAAGGACCTTGAAAATAGATAGTGCACAACAATACTTGTTTGGGAAAAGCTCAAGAGCTTGATTAGGTCATTATCCTATTAAGAGATTTCTGGGGCCACCTCATGTTTGGTGGGTTTGTTATTTTTGGGTGATGTTTCCATTTTCTTTTCGTAATCCATTAAAGGAAAATTGACTGATTTGGTAGATTTTCTCTACTGGAGGAAGGAAAGAGGAAATATTAGATTCTGCCTTGTTTGTCTGCCCTCTTTGACCCGTCGGATTAAAGTTGATGTGTCTTTTCCCTTTAAGTCTGGAATTTGTGTATTGCAAATTGGGGTCAGTTTTGAATTCTCAGTCATACAATGAAGTGTAAATTTGTCTGATAAACAGTCATAACTTATGAAAAGACCCTCCTCTGACAACTATGTTATTAATTCAGTACCTAATGCTTAACTTAGTTCTTTTATGGGGTATTTAAGAGTGTAGTCTAAGGACTATGTCTGGTTACCAATGTTTTGACAATCTAGCTTTTAGGAGTCATACGGTGTTTGCAAGTAGATTTTTTAGCAAAATACACGTATTTAGTGTTTTCCTCGTGGACACAACTATGCTTCTTCGACAGTTACATTGACATTGTGGGGAGAAGTGCTTTGTAAGATGCTCATCGTTTCCAAAGCTGAAGTGAATCATCCCACAAAAGCTACAGAGATGATTGTGTTAAGTTTCTAGCTCTGGTTACTGTTGTAACCTAACTCCTTGAGCCAGAGTGGTGCATAAAGCCAGCTTTGGTTCAGAGAAATCAGAAGCTGCCAGAAGCATCTACCGGTGCTTCTTTTAAGGCTTGAATCCCTATCTGTCACAATTTCTATGTTGTTGCAAACCTCCGGGCCAGGTTGTTCAAAAGCTGGTTAACACTAACCCAGGATTAAAAGTTAACCGAAAGTATTAATTTTTCTTGTATAAAAATGTTTTTTACTGTTCACGTTTTGTGTAGTTTGAGCTTAGTCAAGCTCAGAACTGAAGGACAAACATTGTAAACAGCAAATCTTGCTGAAAAGTCTTGCTAATCCTGGGTTAGCTTAATCAGGCTTTGAACAGCCCAGCCCAGGGTTATAAAAACTACCTGTGGCTGGCTGCGAATGAAAATCACTATCTGCGTCATGATCTTGCCTGGCTACTCGGGGCTACTCTTCTGAATACTGCAACAGTAAAACCCAATTGCTTTTATTAAATCTTTGTGACGACCCTGAACCTTTCTACCACCAAATCTAATGGGTAGCAAACATAAATGCCAAAGGGAAAAGAGAATTTTAAAAGAAGCCCACTATGAAATATGAATTACATACATGTAATTGCAGTGAGTTTTGGCTATTGAAGTGACATTCAGTAAGATGGAAGAATGAAAAAGAACAAACAGGTGGTTATAAAGATTGGGAATGTTCGAGATGTATGCTTAGGATGATCAACTCATGTAATTCGGGTCCATATTTGTCAAAATCTTGATAAAAAAAGTAAATAGAATCTTGGTCAGGATTACCTGGAAATACTAATCAAAAGTTTGTTAGGTAGATGACTTGAAAAAGCACAAAAATCCTGAAAAGAAGAGATCTATAATTTCTATTACATGTACGCAGGGTTCTCATTAATTTAGGGAGTAGAAGGCTTGCTTCAAGAAGTAGATGGTTGATACCAATTTTGAGTGCCAAAGGCACAAGCCCCTAGGGGGATCTGGGGGCATGCTCTCCTAGAAAATTTTGAAATCGAGAGGCTCTGAAATACTATTTCAGGCATTCTTTTGGATATATTTCCTCAAAAATAGTAAATTTTGGAAAAGGCCAAAACGCCAAGAATTTTAAGGGACAGAGCAGGACGTGTGCTTTTGCTTTCAATGGGTAGTGTTTCCACTGGAATTGATGCTGTAGATGTGCTTGGCATGACACAATCCACACTGGTATCGAGCGATGACTCCACTACTGACTGTTAGACTCAACTACTGATTCTTCGAGCACTTCTGCAGCTTTTTTCTTTTTTACAAATCCCATCGTTTTTTGCTGCATCAGTCTTTTTGTTGGGCCTGAGTCGGCCATCTTCAACATTTGCAGTACAAATAACGAATTACCGGTAACTCTGTACGTAATCGAGATTCATGCTGGGCTTGGTTTGTGATTGAGGATGCATGTCTACAAAGCAATATGGCAGTTTGTTGGCGAGGTAAACATGAACCAGCTAGGAATCAAAACAGACCTTAACCAGCAAGAAAATGTGAAGGCTAATTTTATTGTGCAATGCAAAAATGGCTTAGAAGGAAGTTGTCCCCTTTGATGGCAGACATTTTTATTTATTTTCATTACTTTCACGAAAAGTAGGCAGCTCAGAAATCGAAGTATCCGGTTCTTGAGCCGGTGGCCGACACTTAATGAGAACCCTGTGTGTGGTGTCTGCTACTGTGGCATTGTTTCATGTACCCAAGCCATAACTAGATCAGTTGTTATCCTTTAGCAGGACTGAGAAGTGTTGAGTTTTCTGGTAAAATCTCATCTTGGTTGAATTTCAACCTGTATTCTGTAAAGCAAGCTGATCCAGATGTTAGTCACCAGAGAACTGTAGCTATGATGGACCTTTGACAATTAGATTATGAGCTTGAGATTTCTATGAGGTAATAACTTTGATGAGACCAAAGGCCAAATCAACTATCAACTCATAGAAATCAAGAGCAAATAATCCAATTACTTTTTAAAATTCGTTCTTAAATTTTCTGCAGCTATCCTTTTCCAATTTTTTTTGTACGTCGTGTTTAACTTAACATTTTAGAAAAATCGCTTGGACTGAATTTTCGCTCAGAATTTACTGTTGTGTATGCACGTTCACCTAGTTTTTTTTTGAAGTCACAAAACTGTAAATGCCCTTCAGTTTAGTCTTCCCAGCAATTTAATTATCCATTTGTATTTAAATGTTTGTCCATAACTTCGCAAAGACAAGAAAACGTTGTTATTTTAAAGATGACCTCAAGCCACTGCATTCTAATGGCTGATAGTGTACAAGTAGCGCAGCCAATCAGACTGCAGCATTTGCATTAACATACTGGTAGAATTCTACTAATTTCTGTTACAACTGGGATATAATTTTGAAGTTGACCTTGTAAATGTTATTAAATTGCAGTGTGGTAACATGTATTTGTAATCCTGCACGAGAAAACATACAGTAGATCTCTAAAATGATTTTTTTTTGGGTGCTAAAATTGTCAAAGTGCAGTCATCTCTAACTGTTTTTTTCTTTTTAGGTTAATGTTTTGGACAGACTGGGGTGAGCAACCCAAAATAGAGCGAGCTGAAATGGATGGCTCCAACCGTGGAATAATCATCCGACATGATATTCATTGGCCCAATGGGCTTACAATAGACTACAGTAATGAGAAAATATACTGGACAGATGCAAAATTGTTTTATATAGCTAAAGCTAATTACGATGGTTCAAACCGTCAGAGAATATTCAGAACTCCCATGCCCAGTCAATGTGTACTGGGCCATCCATTTGCCGTGACATTATATGAGAATAAAATTTATTGGACTGATTGGAAAACAAGAGGCATTCATTCTACGAACAAGAATACTGGTACACGTTGTCAGATGGTTTGGTCAAATGCTTATTCTCCTATGGATATTCATGTGTTTGAACCAAGAAGACAGCTGCCAAGGCCTGGTAAGTTTAATTTTTATTTGATTGTTGTCACTTTATTGCTAAATGGCATTTACTGCTAAATGGCATTTGAACAGAGCTGGTTGCTCTGCAAAGTCATTATTTTTATTCCTTATGAAAATAAAGATCACTTCATGATTTTCAGTGAGAGCTGGTAGCCAGCAGAATTTCCTGGCTTAAGGGAATAGAGGTGGTTTGGCTGAGTGGTTTAGGGTCCTTGATTCCAAATCTGGAGGTCCTTGGTTCAAATCTTTTACCCTAATGCTATCTGGATTTGTTCTTGGTAGTCACGAGTTCAACTCCTCAAATGCATTGTGTAAATAGCCAAGTTGTCAGCCTCCCACCGGTGGGGATTCTTAATAGTTGATTTTATTTGCAGTATTTGATTATTTCTTAACAGTGTCCCAAATTAGCACAGCAATACTTAATACATTTGACTCATAAATAGTTATTTATTTATTTGGTTATTTGTACCTTCATTTCTGATCCTCAATTTTGAGACTTCAGGAATATTTTGTCTTTTGTCTTTGATAGACATAGACATAGACGTACTTTATTTAACATGGAAAAGTACACACTTAGCTGTTCGCTAGTTTCCAGGTGTTCCAAAATTTAAATTAAGTAATGTACAACATTATAGGAGCTTAAAAAAAGGTATTTACATCAAGCTAATTTAAAAATCACTAAAAGAAAAAAAGAAAAAAAAAAAGAAAAAAAAAAACCCCTGATCTGATCCTGTGTAAAAGTACATGTACTTTTTTGTGTTCATATTTGGATCCAGATTCTCAACTAATTCAAAGAGTTTTCGATAAAATCCCATTGTGTAGAATTATTTTACTGACATACAAGTATGGTTAACTTGACAGGGCAAAACCCGTGCAATTCCACCTCAAATGGAGGATGCAGTCATCTATGTCTGTTGAATGCTCATAGTCATTCATGTGCTTGCCCGACTGGTGTGAAGCTTTTATCTGATGGGAAGACATGCGAGCAAAGTAAGCTGTAAAAAATAATCATTTATTCACTAGGAGTGTAACGATTTGTATTCCTTGCGATTTGATTCAATTTTGATTATTGCCTTTCAATTTTGATTATTTCAATTCAATTGTGCAAAACATTTCCACACAGCAGATCTAAATCACAATTGCTGGTGGTAGAAGGGCAACATTTTTACCAAACGACACAAAGTGGCGCACAAACTGCAAACGTCTGTGCTCATCAATCAAAAACGCATATGTTAAAGAGTTCTGGATTTTGATTTCACAATATAATAACTCATTGAGGGCACCCTGGGAAAGGTATGCAAAAAATCGAACCAAAGTTGAAACCTGGAATCAAAGAATCATGAATCAAACCGAACGGTCATAATCCTGATTAATTGAGAATTCAATTAATCATTACACCACTATTATTCACCCATGAAATATGGAATGGCTCCCATGAACTCATTATTAAGTGTTAACTTTTATATTGAGATCGAATTGGAAGTTGAAGTGGTGTGTTTTGTGGATGGAGGAAAAGTGAAGAACTTGGTAAAAACCCTTAGAGCAAGTACCTGGACCAAAAACAAACTCAACTCACTTATGGCACAGGGTCTAAGAAAAAAAAAAAATTATGTCACATTGGTAGGAATGTGATGTAAGTGAGCACTTTATCAACTGTGCCATCAACTGTGCCATCAACATCCCTCCTCCTGCAACGCAAACCTTTTACTAGCAGATTTTTCTTTCAGATGTTCTAGAGTAAAACCTAGAAATCAGTTGCTGACAAGTTTGTGCATTTAGTTCACTAATGGGAAACTGTTTTCTTCACAGGTCCTATCCATTTCTTATTATTAGCAAGGAAGGAGGACCTGCGTCGCATATCACTTGACACACCTGATCTTACTGATGTGGTTGTACCAGTTTCTGGTATTAGGCATGCAGTTGCCATCGATTTTGATCCAGTCGATAAATTTCTTTATTGGAGCGATGATGAGAAACTTGAAATCAAGAGATGTAGAATGAATGGACAAAGTAAGCTTGTTGTGACAGTACTGATAAATCTGTTTGGTGATTCATTATATTGTTTTATCACTTTAATTTCCTGGAGTGAGGGCTTTACGATGGCTTCTTGAGATCATTGTTTGTGATGTATTACATTGAAGGGGTTGTGAATGGTAAATGCGGGACTTTGCGAGACGCAAAGGAACAAAATAACTGTTTTTTTGGCGCCAAAATGACGTTGCGGTAAGTTTTGTAGTGTTTTGTGGAATTCAGACAATTTGGTGCCCAGAAGTTAGGATTAACTTTTTCTCGGATAATTGAAAGTTGCGTTATTGAAATTCAGTATCAGGTGACGAGAAGATCTCATTTATTAAAACAAACAAACGAAACGGAACTTTGAAACCCTTAACCTTGCAAAAAGTCAAGACTCCGAGAGAGCTTCGTATAAAAATCGAGACTGCGAGACGTACATAACCGCTAAAAAAACAAGACTGCGAGACCTGTGAAATTCGACTAAAATTTTGCGAGACCCAGAGTTTTTGAAGGACCATTTGCCACCCCTACATTTATATACAGCTAAAGGCCCTATTTTTTTTGGCCATTCAAACTCTTATAATGTTTCAGGGAGGATTAAAGCACCAGAGGTATTAGGTGTTCACTATTACCGACGATATTGTAAAATGCTGTTGTTTTCTTGTTTAGCCGTTGATGTCCTAGTTTCCAGTGAAGTTAAACATCCTGATGGTGTCGCAGTTGACTGGGTTGCACGGAACTTGTATTGGACAGACACAGGCACTGATAGAATTGAAGTCAGCAGGCTGAATGGCTCGTCAAGAAAAGTTCTTATCAGTGAAAATCTTGATGAACCTCGAGCGATAACATTAGATCCAACTCATGGGTAAATAAAGACTTTTCTTTGCTGTTTTCTTGTATGTCTGGAAGAAAAGTTAAGGAAGGATCTTTTTTATCCACAGTTGCACCCAGCTATTTTCAAACTCTCAGGAGAAACGGAAATTTGTTTGAAATAGCGGGAGTTCAAAATAGCCAGTACAAAATCTACTAAAAATAGCCAATACAAAAGGGCAAATCCAGGGGAAATGGTTTAAAGTTTGAAATGTTTAACATGGTCTTAAAAAAAAACCAGGTTTGAACTAGCAGGGTCCAACTGCACTTGTTAGCAAGTACTTATCAAAAATTAATTACATACAGTACATGTATATGCTTCTTAACTCTGATAAATGTTTGATGTGAAACTTCTTCTGACAGCTCAGTTTTACATGCACTTTCCAGTTGTAAACATGTTTGTCTACTTGCTATTGTGTGGGTTTCTAAATGTAAAATCGCTCTAGCACTAGCTATCTGCCAGCCAGTCTAATTGAAAAAGTGTAAGTTGAGGAACGAAAATGAAGATTGAAAGAAAAATGAAGGTAGATTGTAAATTAATTATAATGTCAATAAAGAACTGAGCCTCTGTCAATACTGGTATTTGCAAGCTAATAGAAGGTAACTAAAAGCCAGAAATTCTAAGTGGAGTTACAGGGAACAGAGGTTACTTCTTCCACTTGTGTATCTCGTGTAATGCCTGTGGCTTTGCAAGTGGAAACGTCTATCATAATTAATTCTGCAATTTTGTCTTTCCCAGGTACATGTACTGGACTGATTGGGGAAAGCATCCGAAGATTGAACGAGCAGCACTGGATGGGAGTCACCGCACCATTTTGGTCAATGACTCCGTGGCGTGGCCTAATGGTCTTACCATTGATTATCTTTCCCACAAGATCTACTGGGCTGATGCCAAGCTGGACAAGATTGAGGTCATGAATTTGGATGGGAGTAGTCGCAGAGTGGTCCTGAGTGACAAGTTACCGCACATCTTTGGTTTTACTGTCCTTGGTGATCGTCTATATTGGACAGACTGGCAGAAAAGGGCTATAGAGAGTGTGAACAAAAGAACCCGCAAAGACAGACAAACAATCATTGACAGCTTGCCTGATTTGATGGGATTGAAAGCTGTCAATCTTAACCTCACATATGGTGAGAAATAGATGAATTATTTGTGGTACCAGTGATTCTTTTGAGTAGGATTTATAGGGAAACATGTATTTAGTATCTGTATGGCACATTTCTTCTCTAGGTTCTAATGACTGCCAGCATAACAATGGAAATTGTAGTCATCTGTGTTTATTCAGACCTTCGGGGGTTAAATGCGAATGTCCAAACGGGATGGAGCTGCTTGCCGATGAAAGGAGTTGCATACGTAAGTGCTTTTCAATTTATCCATAGTAGGGTTGTCATGAAATTTTTAGTCACCTGGTACCTTGATCTTCACACCCGGAAGAAACTTGTTGCTTTTTGGGTGAATTATATCAACAACAGGCAAGTTCGCCTGTAACATCAAGGGCCGATCAAATATACTCATCCAAAAAAGGGTTTTACGGATTTTGGACACTAAGCATTCTTGCACTATGTCATAACAAAGTGAATTTAGGTGGTACAACTGTTCTTCCAATAAAGTGTGCTGAGTGATTCGCAGGGAAGTAGCTGAGGGCCAGCCTGCTGAAATTTCACCAGAAAACGAAGACTTGGGGACACTTTGGAGATGCGAAAGCCAGAAAAGCCAGCTGCTTGCACGTGTCAATGAGCCAACTTACTGTTTTCTTAGTTACATCGGTGGTTTACAGATGTAAAATTAATGACCTGTTTGGCATTCTGCTTGCAGTACCAGAAGCATTCCTGTTGTTCGCAAACCCCGATGACATCCGGAGAATTTCTCTTGACACCAATAACGGCAATGTTATTCCCTTGGTTGGTGTCAAAGAAGCAAACGCTCTTGACTTCAGTGTTCACGATATGCAGATTTATTGGACAGATGTGACCCTCAAGTCGATAAGTAGAGCATTCCTGAATGGCAGTAGCATAGAGCACTTGATTGTTGTGGACTTACACTTTCCTGATGGCTTGGCAGTTGATTGGATAGCCAAGAACCTTTACTGGACAGATTCTGAGCTTCAGAGAATAGAGGTGGCAAGGCTAGATGGGCAGCACAGGAAGATGTTGATTTGGAAAGACTTGTGGGAGCCGCGGGAACTGACTCTTGATCCAGTGTCAGGGTAAGTGTGAAACAGGAACGGTTTTCATTAAGGGCTGGGCACCAGGCAAATTGGCTGGCTGCGAGGACGATTTTGCCNCCCCCCCCCCTGCTTTGACCATCCTCTTGTAGAAAAGTTTTCTTATGAAGAAGTTCAGTTCAAATAGTTTTACTTGTCTGTGGAAACCAGTTGCCCCCCTGCTGGAAATGAGAATGGAACCCCTGCAGAGATAGTGACAAAGGCCTTTTGTAGAACCCTGTGACCTTGTTAATGATCAAAAATTGATGTTGAATGAAGTGAATGCTAGAAATGAAAAGAGTGTGATGAAAGTAGATTTTGTTGATTTTAAGACAATTGATGTGTAAGTATGATTTTACAGCAGCTTGAATGATGGAAAAAATTTGTGTAAATCTGTGGATTGCTAAGGTTGCTATAAGAGCAACCTTTACCCATAGCAAATTTCTAAACCTTCAGATTGCCACTTACAACAATTTCCTGGAATATCTTGCACCTTCTATGGTAGTAGCTGACTTGCCCATTGTTGCTCTGATCTAAACCACAGGCATATGTACTGGGCGAATGGCGGAGAGGAACCAAAAATAGAGAGAGCAGACTTAGATGGTTCAAACAGGCGTACAGTTGTCATTAATGTCACACGTCCAACCGGCTTGACAATCGACTTTTCATTGGGACTTATATTCTGGGTGGATGCTGAAAACAAGGTGATTGAATGTGCATATTTAAATGGGACAAACCGCCGAACCATTGCAACTGAACTACCAAAGCCTTTTGCCTTGACCCAGTACAAAGATTTCATATATTGGGCAGACTGGAGGTTGAGCTCAATCTACCGTGCAAACAAATCCAATGGAATGGACAGGACGCAAATTAAGGGCAACATAGACTTCATTATGGATATTCTGGTTTTTCACAGCAGTAGACAAGAAGGTTTGTACATTCAGCAATTTTGTGGTGTACATGTATTTTTATTATTAACTAATGGTTTGCCTTAGGAGAGTGGTCAAAACTTAGCGTTAACTTGAGTAAGTTGCAACAGAACCGCAGAATTAATCAACTTTTGATTTATATAACTACATTTTAAACCCACGTAGAAAATGAACTTACAGCCGCCAAAACCTCACGATCTCGAGTTTTAAAAATGTTTGATATTTGACGACTTGTCACTCATTTCTAGAAAAGTTTCAACATAGGAAAATGCTACATGTAAGTCATGAAAGAGTCACACTCTCCCGAACACAAGTTTTTTTAAGTGATAACCGTCTCTACAGCATAGTAAACAGTATTCATCAAAGTAACACTCAATAGCTTGGATTTGAGTGGTCTTACTACATTTAAGTTTGATCCAATGACTTATAATGTATCAAGTAAGAGCAATCTTGTACAACATGCAGGTTGCTGTTTGTAGGGTCACATTAATGTCGTCAAACTTTGCTTCTGGCATGGGAATGTCTGGTTTAGGGCAGGCTGTGTGAGTGTATAAAGTTGTGTCAAAGATAGGGCTTGACCTCGCAAAATAGTCTAATGAAGGAAATTTTCAGTTAAAGTGGAGAATCAACTATTTGTCATAACTCTATCAGGTTGGAATCTCTGTGCTTTCAATAATGGCGGCTGCAGCCACCTTTGTCTTGCTAAACCTGGAAACAGAATAGAGTGTTCCTGTCCAACGCATTACACATTATCACCAATTGACAATAAAAGCTGCAAAGGTGAGTTTGTCCAGAGTTCCCACTAGTTGTAATAGTTAAGGGTCCTTGGGACCCCCAGTTCCAAAGAGTTGGGAGTTCTTTTTTTGCTTTTCAGGAGTCCTTTGCCTATTTACTAAAATGTTGGGAACTTTTTTCCTGCTTCACAAGGACACACTTTGCCAAACTTTTTTTACATCGCGTTGGTGTATTAACCTCTACAATGTAGGTCAAATTGTTACATTTTGTATTCTGAGTACAGCAGTGCCAGGAATTTGCCACTTACTGCAGCTCAACCAGCTGCTTTTTTTGTCTTGACTTAAGCTTTAACCCTTAAACGAGTGTTTTTGTTTGCAGCTCCTCGCCTTTTTATGCTGTACAGCACCAAAACAGACATTCGCCGAATCCTCTTCAACTCATCGGACAATCTTGATGTGGTTTTACCCATTCGTGGTCTATCAGATGTTCAGGCGATCGATTATGACATTAACAGCCATCTTGTCTTCTGGATTGATGGTACCACCAAGACCATTAGATGTGCTTTTCAAAATGGCACCAATTCTAAGATAATTAAACTGGATGCAGGTGCAGTGCCGTATGATCTTGCCATCGATCCTTATGGACAGCAGCTCTTTTGGACGGACACTGCATCCAATAGCATTAAAGTTTACAGTCTGAAGAATAAGACAAACCTCGGTGTTGTGTTCCGGGAAAAGAATTTTTATCCGCGGTCTATTGTACTTCATCCTGAGAAAGGGTAAACAAAGATTTTTACCTGTTGTAACATCATTAACAAGTTTGCTGTTTCTTGCTAGATGTGCATCATTTTATTAAATTCAATGTATTGTAAATACACAATAATACACAATAAGTGTAGGTGCATTTAAACTTCAGGGTATTTTAGAAAATCTTAGTTTTGAAAAGTATTTACAAATAAGTTCTCACATTTACAATACTTTGTCAAAATATCTTACTTCCAGTGTGCATTCTTGTGGCCTGTGTGTTTAGTTATGTAATGATCTTATGGAGGTGAACAAAATGGTAGTTTTATTGTTTGTAGTTAAAGATTACAAAAGAGATAGATAAATCAGATCCTCCCGTTTGTTTACCCCAAGGCTGGTGCCGGTCAAAGTTTTGGAATCTCTTAGGATGAGCCGATTTTTGGAATGTTTTGCTGAATACTCTAAGCTTCCTTAAAGGAGCTCAGTCACGGTATTTTGAGTTATTTTGGCCACGTACAAAATTACCTTTCAATTGAGGGACAACTGAAAATGATTTTTTACTACCATAGAAAAACACCAAAGAGATAAAAATAAACCATAAAGGACTAAGGATGGTTAAGGATGGAGAAGATTGACATGGATTACAAACAGCGGACTTGAAAAATTGAGGCTAATCTTTTCAATATGCGCAAACTGTGACTGTGCTCCTTTGTGAAATCCTGACAGACTTCCTCTGTTAACCTCACCTTGCCTAAATTTCTAAATGATCTGGCAAAACTTTTCAGGTTAATGTACTTCACCAATGACAATCCTGAGAAAAAGTGCATCGTGCGAGTGACAATGGGTGGACTCGACAGCCTGATGTTGTTCAGCGCAAAGTCCCCTGGTGACTTGGCAATTGATAAGCAGGGCAGAAAGCTTTTCTGGACGGATACAGAACTGAAGAAGATCGAGTACGGCGATTTGGCAGGTAAATCCTTTATCAGTAATCAGATTTAAGGGGGGTAACATTGCTTCAGTTGCTATGGGTACAACTTTGTTTTAGGTTGTGGTCACCAAAGCTTCGGAAGCTTATTACAGATCCCTGAGTGTGGCTTTTCCTACAGTCCACAAATTTCAAATTGCTGGTTCCCTGTTTCAAAGCAAGGACTCGTTGGAACAGTTTCTCTGAAATTTACCGGTTCTACTCAGGCACTTATTTTTGTTGTTGTATTTTTAGTGGAAACATTTGGCACCATTCTTTGGGGGAAAAAGACAATTGTCTTTTCAGTTCCCATTGAAAAAGCTTTCTCTCCGAGTTGGTGTGAAATTCATGAGGCTGAGTAAAGTACGCATACTGAAATCATCCCCAATAAGGAATGTTTGAGATTTGAACTGAAAAACGTTTTAAAAACCTAAAAATCGGTGTTGCATATCACAAGAGAGCATATAAACCGTTTCAGTCTTCACAAACTGCCCAGTTTGCCGACATGCCCATGATTTTTATTTTTACTTTTATCGCCAAATACACGCACTCCATTGACATCAGTGCAACCTCGTTTCCAGGGTCTCTCGTCTTCCCCCGGCAGGGCGGGTAGATGAGAAACCCTGGGAAGGGGGTTTTTATCAGTGATGATTCTTATCAAGTGGCATCATGCGCAATGTCCTTGTTTTCTTGTAGGAACAAATCGCGCCACTCTGGTGGACATGAATGTATTGCATCCTGTAGGAATAGTTGTGTTTGGAGACTACGTTTACTGGATTGATCGAGAATCTCGTACTGTCATGAAAATCAAGAAGGGAGGTGAAATCCCTAGGGTTCTTGTGCAGGCAGCCGTTGATGACTTGTCTGACATGATAGTTGTTGACGCTAGGAAGTCCACAGGTAGGGATATCATACTGCTTGTTAATCTCACTGTCAACTTTCGAATTCTCATTACCTGTCTCCATACAGTTCTTGTTGTAATAGTTGGGAGAATTGTGTTCGTAGAAACAGAGTAGAAGAGTTGTAAGGGTTGATTATGTTGCCGTAGCTTTTAGCCGTATGGTGCAATGTATCAGGGCTTTCTGAGGATATACATGTAACAAACCCCAAAGGAACCACTTTGATCTGGTTTTCACTAGAGTCCGAGACAGAGTGGCAGTCGGAGTCTTCAGAACGCTTTTGACCTAGTGAAAATCGAAAATTGGAGACATAAGCTCGACGGAATCGGAGTCGCAAGAACCAGAATGTTTCCATTTTTTTGCGATTCCACTCACGACTTCGTTACTTATGATCCAGTGAAAACTAGATTGTTCGAGTCAGAAGCAGAAGCGGAAGAACCAACCAATCACGATGTCTGGAATCGAGCCTTGTGATTGGTTGATTCTTTGGCTTCTACTTGCGACTCCGATAATCTATAGTTTTCACTTGATCATAAGCGACGGAGACATAAGGAGAACCGGTATTCTGCTTCCGACTCTGTTGATTTGATTTTCACTGGGTCGCATCACTCTGCCCTTTTGATTACGACTGTGACTGAAAACCAACCTTAAGCAATTTATCACTTAATGAAGTTAACGGCCTTAGCGAGTTAATGAAGTTGACGATTTGAGCAATAGCACTTTGTCACTTGCCCGCCATTACAGCCAAAGAGTTTCTTTGGAAACTAATTCTTTTGCCCAAATGGGACCACAGATTGAGATGGTTAGAAAAGACAAATTCAAGATGTCCTACTTAAGACATCGCTCTTTTGGTAGTCTAAATAAACATTTTTGTAGATTGGAATGGGTGGTAACATTGTCTGGTGTTGATTTTTCAGTTGATCACCCGTGCGCCAGGAACCGTTGCAGTCACATCTGTTTGGTTGGATCTCACGGCCAGACGCAATGCTCATGCCCCGTTGACAATATCCTCAATGGAGACAATTCCACTTGTGGAGGTTAGTACACAACAAAATCACAAATGTCACACCTGTGCAAGTTGCCTTAGTGAAAGAAAGAGACCGATCAATGGCAGACTGCCATTCCTTTAGACAGGAGAAATAAAATTCTCAGTCAACAGTGGCAGATGGGCAAGAACAAGTCAAGCCACCGAAACAAGCGAAACTAAACCGCTAAAACAACCGAAACGGTTGAACGAGCGAGATGAAACGAAATCACTGAAACAAGCGAACCCATTATGATTCATTGAGAACTAACCGTAAGCAGGTTAGCCTGAGCGTTATGCAGGCTAACCAGAGTGCTTTCTCCAGGCTAACCAGAGTGCAGGTCTGCAGGTTTGCCGTCTCTTTCCACTCTTGTTTATTATAACGAGTTTGCAATAAGTTTTTCGTGTTTTTTTTTTTATTAGCTCCCAAGACATGCGAACCATACGAGTTTGCTTGCTCCAGTGGAGGTTGCGTGAATGAAAATTGGCTTTGTGATGACAGGGAAGACTGCATTGATGGCAGTGATGAAAAGAATTGTAGTAAGTTGTCTTGCTATTGCGTTTTATGCAGGCGCAGATCAGAAAAGTAACCTGCTTTTGAAGTGTTCTTTGAGACGTCCTTTTGCAGTGTATTTCAGTCTCACGTTAGTTGTTTTAGTGAACGATATTTTGTGAAGCCTATTTGATTATTTAAATGGTATTTGTGCTTTTTAAACTTCAAATATTATTATTGTCATTATTATTAAGATGTACTGCTGTTGTATTTGTTATTTCAATCTTCGTAAGAAACCCCCCAAAACTAACTTTGATTTGTTGTTGTTTTTAACGTTCAGCACCCTGCAAAGATGGAGAATACCGCTGTAGCGGAGGCAAGTGTATTAGCGTGAAGAAACTTTGCGACAATGAAGCAGATTGCGATGATGAATCAGACGAGGACGATGAGAACTGCCGTAAGTGTTGGGCTGCCGGCTGTTTTCGGAAAATTACGCAAGAGTTTGGAGGCAGCGTGGCCGAGTGGTCAGCGCGTGTGACTCGCAGTCCAGTGGTCCCGGGTTCGAATCCCGCTCTGATCACTACCTGGATCTGTTCACGGCAGCCCTGAGTTCAAAACCTCGGCCACGCTTGGCAATAGCCAACTGGTTTGCCTTTGGCCGGTTGGGATTCTAATTAATGTTATGTTTCAGTTGTTTTCTGGGCTCCACTAGCCTTTGTGCCATAAACACTGCCGAACCTAAATGAAGATTATTTTCGTTATTGTTAGAGGCCTATTTACAGGCCGAAAAGCCAGGAAAAAAGGCGTTACCAAAGCAAATGTAATAATGAATATTGAATGGTGATAAAGAGGTTTTTGGGCAGAAGAGGGAATAGAGTTGACTTTATTTTGATACAAACCTTCGTGATTTTGTTAAGTAGACTGTTCTGTTGGCAAACTGGCTAGTCAACCTTAAGTCGACGTAAACCTCCTTTCATTTTCACACTTGGCTTCTTCTTTCAAAACTGTAAAATCGGCTGCCTCATGTACCTGCGACAGTCTTTGTTCTATTAAGATATCCTTGACCATGTTTTTGTTGATTTAATGCCACTCGTTGGTCCTCATTACTTTAGTTCTAGTGACTGTGTCGATGATGTTTAACATAATTTTTTCCTTTTCATCGCAGCATTGAAATGTCTCAAGAACCAGTTTGAATGTGTTGTGAATCACATCGTTATCAAGTGTATTCCTTTGGATTGGAAGTGCGATGGTGGCGGAGACTGCCCTGGCGACTTGGATGAAATGGACTGTGATCTCCCTGAAGGTAGAGCAGCAGAATATTTTACTGATGCACTCCTATTGGTTGGGAGGCGCGGAGGCCTCATGGTTAGTGCGCTCGACTCGAGATCGAGGGGTCCGGGTTTGTGTCGTGGCCGTGGACATTATTTTGTGTTCTTGGGCAAGACACTTAACTCTCACAGTGCCTCTCTCCATCCAGGTGTATAAATGGGTACCGAAGAGTTTAAGTACTGGGGGTAACCCTGTGATAGACTTGAATCCCATCCAGGGGAGAGTAGAAATACTCATAGTTACTTTTTACTGCAGAAACCGGGATAAGCTCCGGCCTTGCTCATTTGCAGACTTTGCCGTTACCTTAATTATTAGTATTGGTACTGATGTGTGTGTTTTCATTGTTAATTTTTAGGCAATTCAACAGACCCTGGATCTACTGGTGTCTTCCATCCTTCAAATCTCAGCGGTAAAATGGTGGGCGTTATTGTGGCGTCAATCATTGTTTGCGTCATCTTTCTTACCATCGCTGTACTGATATGCCGCAGGCTCAAGCACGGCCCTGACTGTAACGTGACTCATGACATAGGATTAGTTGTGACTCCAGTGCTTCGTCCCAGGCCTCCCTCGTGCGCGTCTTCATCTTCCTCAGCATCTTCCCGCCGTGACATGTTCGTGACGGCGCCGTTGCGGAAAGGTCCCGGATCGGCTGGCTCGTCTAATAAGCGGTCAAAATCAAACGGCACGGCTCCGAGCTTAAGCAACCGTTCAAGTGCGTCGCAAACTGCTTACGACCGGAACAATTTAACTGGAGCGTCATGCTCCTCGACTGCGTCTACTGTAGTCACGGCATACCTTCATGAACCTTTGAATCCACCGCCGTCGCCTGTGACGGAACGATCTCAGTATACTTCGCGGTCTCGTCCATATTGCGAGTCCCTGTTATCGCCGTCATCGTGTACATCACACCGATACCACCGGCCCAGAATGCCTCCGCCTCCAACGCCTGCTTCAACCGACGTCGAGTCCATAGGGAGTCGGCATCGCTGTCGTAGACTACACCGTTGCCGGTACCAGCGGTACGAGCCTTCCACCTGCACGGAGGCGGCGTACGATTCGGATTTGTTCGCGCCGCCTCCGACGCCAAATACGAACTATCTTTCGGAGGCGACGCATTTTTCAGATCAAGAGGGGCCGCCCCCATCTCCTGTAATGACTGAGAGGAGCTTCCATCCCCACCCTTACCCTCCTCCGCCTTCGCCAGTGACTGACGCGCCGTCAGTCGTGTTGTAACACAAGTGCGCAGAAGGGGAATCTATATCTGCGTGACTTCTGTCACGTCGGTGTCTCGCTCGCTACAATGGACCACGCGGAAATTGCGTGAGCTATAACTGACGTTATTTCACTTTATCGTCAATACAGAAAAGACGTTTCAAAGAATTGTACGTGGCCGTGCGAGTTGAACTCGCGGAAACTCCAACGCGTAACCTGCGAGGATGTTGCGCGTTTAATTCGCGAGGAACAGAGAAGAAAGTCGACGATGTCGAAAGCACCACTCTAGCGGAGCAACGAAACGTTGAATGAGCTTCAACAATATTATAATGAAGTAAAGTAACGTTCTCCGACGTTTTGGTAGGATAAGAAAGGGAATAATTTCTGTCGTCCTGAGTCAGCGGATAAACAGGAACTCGTTGTACACTGTAGTTAACCTTGGGAAATCTTCTGAAAGTCGATTAGTCAATTTTGAACGATCTCCAGTTTGAAGCCTGCAAATGTTCTCTGCTTTTTTTGAGCTATTTTGTGTTTTTTAGTCCTATATTTTTGTACAAGTTCTGGCGTTATGTTGGTGTTTGATCGTGTTGAGTTTTTTTTGTTGTTGTTGTTGTTCAGGTTTGCGTTTTGTGGTTGCGTTGATCGTTTTCTTTTTTCACTGAATTACTCATTCTCTTTTGGAAGTTAATCATTCCAATTGAATTTATATTCACTGTTGGTGAATCTGTTCATGGTAAAAAGCACTTCGTAGGCTTGCTGATTCATTGGTTAATATCATTTTCGTTTATCAGCTCTCTGCAGGTAGAAACATTAACATGGCTTTAAAATGTCTGCAAATTATTTATTGTAAATATTGTATATAATTTGTAAATGGTGCTTTACCTGTAACCAAGAGTATCTATTGTCAAGCAGTTTTGCTGATGACTTTTAAATTTTCTTAGATTAATATATTTTTAATAAAGATGTTTGTATAAATGACGTTGTCTTTTTATGACCCTTTGTTGTATCTCCATTCTGTTGAGTCGGTTCAAAGCCCGATTAGCTATCCCAGGATAAGCAAGAATTTTGATTTCAGTTTTGTAACTTTTCGGTGAGGTTTTCTGTTCATATTGTATGTCCTTCAGTTTTGAACTTGAGAAATCTCAAGCTACACAAAACGTAAGTAGCGGAAAACGTTTTATGCAAGAAATGTGCACCATAAATGTGCATCACAAAAGAAACAAAATGACACCCTAAGTGCTGTTGCTATAGCAACTCTTTCTCTCTCTTTCTGTCAAAAAAACCAAATATCCCCATTTGCAACCTCCAAAGTGAGACAGGGTCCTACTTGGAACAGACATAGTTCCCATATTGTCTTAACTCCCATCATTAGATTGGGTGGGGTAGATGGTTCTTGGCTTCACACAAAAACTGAATTTCAGTGTTTATTACGACAGCACCAGCGGCAAAACTGCTATCATGGCACAGCATTAAGGGTGAAAATTCGTGGTAGTGGAAATTTGATAATCAATCGGAAAAAGACTAAGGAGAAAAGGGTAAATTAGAAATCGTAAAAATATTAAGATCAGACATTCAAACATTGTCACTGATATGATTTCCTTTGATTAAACTACCGGTGAACGCCATGAACTCCTCCATAACGAACAATATGGTTGCCACTCCCAGTCAGAGCTGTACTACTCAATACTGTAAAAAAAATAAAATTTCACCTTCGATTTAAGGGCAAAACGGGAAGCGCACGGGCCATAAGTCGAAGGGATAAAAACACGAGGATCCGTATCTTACTGTACGGATCGAGAAGACGAGCCGTAAGATATTTGGTATATCTCTACTGTGTGTCTGACGGGTTCGAGAACGATTTCTATCCACGNTGACGCACCTCGAAAGCAAAACGAGTCATTTTGAAATCGTTAAGTCGTTACCACGTTTTAATACACAATTAATAGTAAAAGGAAGCTTACTTGCTATAAAAGTTAAGAACACCTGGCGATAAATCACGAAACATTTTGGCAAAAAAGGGCTGTAAATTTTAGCGGGCCTTCCAGTAGCTATAGAAATACGTCCCGCTAAAATTGACCAATCACGTCGAGTGTAGTAACTGAGAGTTGGTTATAATGAAGGTGAAATTCACAAGTGAACAAACTAGAGATAAGTAACGTGGCTGGACGCGAACCTCGCGTGTTCCTTTGCTGTTTCCACTGATATGCTAAAAAGTTCTGATGGCTCGGTAAAGAAATCAAAATCATCCTTTTTCACGCCGATACAAAGAACTAAATTTAGAATTACTAGTTACCTCTACTTCCACTGAACAGCACATCATCATCGAGCATTGCATGACTGCCTGTGTTTTTGCTGAAGTTCTTTCAAGGGCTTAGCCAGCTTTTTGAAGTAATATATCAAACACGAGAGACAGTGTTTCATTGGGATATCCAAACACTGAGAAGAGGCTTGAAAATACGACGCCCAGCGGAAATTTTTTGACGAAATTTGAGGTGTTTGATAGCTGATGAAACACTGTCTCGAGTGTTTGATATATCTTCTCAATCGAAGCAAAAACTAAGGAGTAATCGGAGAAGTAAAATCGTCATAATCTATGCTAATTAAGACCGGGTATCCAAACCTCCTTCACGGTCGTGATTTTCTTTGTTTTAACTTGATGAGTTGAGAAGAGTTACAGGCCTGGCCATTCCGCCCGCATCGAAAAGACTTCATCCTTCACTTTCTCGTGATTTTAAGCGTGTCTCGATAGTACCTAAACTCGAACATTTCATTCAGTTCTCGCAAAAATGGGCTAATTTTTGCTAATTAGACACTCGTCTTAAACGGTACATTCCATTGGGTATTTGTCTGTCACCTGAAACATCTCTGAAACATACTCATTTGATCGCAATCTGCTTTTTGACTTTATGTGCGTTGCGTGACTGTCGGCACGTAACCCGCAGAAATAAACAAAATTTAGAG